GACAGTATGTTCTGGAGTGAAAAGTGCCATGATTTTTATGTTCGTGTTTTTCAACGACAGAAACGTGCCCAAACTGAACTGGAGACTTTTTCAAAAAGGGAATCATCAAGACCTCTAGAGGTCATAGGAATGAAGAGAAGCCATTCAAGGGATGGTTTTTGGTGAATGCTTATACATATAGGCATAGTGAAGACAGCCCTGATTGTAATTTAGAAAAGAATTTATCTCTCTTTGGCCCTCCTTGGAAAATAATGTTCATCTCTAGTAATCCCCATTATGACTTCTTTCCTTAGATTTTTTAAATGGGATTTAGGTAATTGAATTAAAATCAAGGCTCATCGTACACGAAGACATTGTTTATAAGAGGCCTTGTGTATTTAATTTGTCTTGACATTGATCTGTTATGTTCAGGACCCAGAGGACAGGTCTGAGATTGTCAGCAGAATCAGAATGGGATCTAAAATCTTAGAATTGGAAAGAATCTTTAGGCTCATTTATGAAAGTCTCCTCCTGCTGTGCCCACAGCAAGCGTTTGCCTGGACACTTGACAGACAGGGAATTATTTGGTGAATCTCAAATGTCTGTAGGTAATGGAAAGGCACTTCTCTGAAAAAAATAATTCTGTAAGTGCAGAGGAGAAGGGTGTTTGATGACTGCTGGTGAATTTTCATATCATATTTCTGAGCCATATGTTACATTTATTTATATAGGTATATTCTCTTGTTTTCACACATATTGTCTTTGTTATAACAAAATTAAAACATCCTCACAAGTTCAAACAATCCATAGGTTTAAAGATTAAGAATAACCCTTTACCATTCCTTCCTACCAGTTTATACATCCTTATGGATCATTTTCACGAATAAGTTGCACTTTAATTGTCTGCTTGTACATTTAGTCTGTTTTACTATAATCTGTTGCAGGTTTCTTGAGAAAACTTACAGAGACATTACTCCTGTGTGTACTGATACGGAAAGTGTCTATGAGAGCTTAAGATAATTTTGTTTTAAAATTGCTATAATTTTAAAATAATTTATGTCTGTAAGTATTTAAAATAAAAATGTGTGACATCATACTACATACATTTCTGTTTCACAACAGAAATTTTTAATTTTCTTTAATTTTATCTAAATATAATCTTTATTTAACTAAAATCTTATTGGGGTGTCTGGGTGGTTCAGTCAGTTAAGAATCGACTTTGGCTCAGGTCACGATCTCGAAGTTCATGGGTTCAAGCCCCGCATCAGGCTCTGTGCTGACAGCTCAGAGCCTGGAGCTTGCTTCAGATTCTGTGTCTGCTTCTCTCTCTGCCCCTCCCCCACTTGCGCTCTCTCTCTCTCTCTCTCTCTCTCTCTCTCTCAAAAATAAGTAAACATTAATTTAAATAAAATTTTATTTCTATTTAACACAACAGAAATTTTTTATTTTATTTCATTTTATTTAAATAAAATTTAAATGAAAATATTCAGAAACCTTTTGGAAGGAGAAGAGAAATAAATGTTCCAGAAACATACAGTCAGTTAGTTAATCCAGTTGAAAGCTAAATTTAGTGTCTCAACGGCTGAGGAAATAAGGAAACCAACACAAGTTTTATATTTCTCATTATGTGATAAGGCAAAGCCAACACGAGTGTTGAAAAGAAACATTTTCCTGACACTAAAATCTATGTGGAGTTCGTTAAATTGATCCTCCTACACTTTCAGGGATGTAAGATCATCAGACAGTGTCTGTGATTTTGCACAAGTGGAGAGATAGTCTGCATGGGATCCTAAAACTTCCCCGCCCCCGCACCACAGCAAAGCAGCAAAGAACTCAAGATTCAGTTAAGAAGTTGCTTCAGGTAACAGTAGCTGACGCAGGGAGAGTATGTAGACATATGGGGAGATGGAGACAGATGTAGATCACCTGTCTATAGCAGAACAAAACAAAGAACAAAGAACAAAACAGCAGATAATCTGCAAAATCTTAATTTGTCTTAAAACCACCAGAAAGCTGGGATTGCAGGACAACCAAACAAAAACTGAGGGGATAATCCAGACACAGTCACATATTTTAAGAATCCATTGATATGAAATAACCAGGATAGGCAAATCTCCAGAGACAGAAAGAGGATTATTGTTTGCCCGAGGCTGGGGTTGGGGGATGTGAAGAGTGCCCATCAATGGGTGTGGGTCTCTGTTTGGATTGTGACGATGATCTAGAACTGGACAGAGGTCACAGCTACCCTCTGTTGTCAGTGTGTTAAAGGCCACTGGATCGTACACTTAACAGTGGTTGAGTTTACATGATGCAAATTTAACCTCAATTTTTTAAGTTAAAAAAAAATCAAAGGAGAAAGATCATCCACGGAGAGACAGGGTGCAAGCCCTTGCTTACTTGGGACAGAAGAACTGGATGCCAAACAAGTCGGGCAAGAAGCAGAGAGCCAGAATGTTTCCAAAGTGCCAAAGGCCAAGTGTGGACCCACGTGGGAGCACAGAACCGTTGAGAAAGCACCCGACACAACGGGCTCTTCTGCACAGACCTCACTGGGGGCTCACCAGCAAGATCAGGGCGGGTCTAGACACGAAGAAGCCGCCTCCTGGTGCAGCCTGGCGGAGGGGAGCAGCTGCCTGTCCGGGAAGGCATGATGCCTCCCACCCCGCATTTCCAGACCTTCTCCCTTGACTCCATTATGAAGCTTAATAGACTCAAACTAGAAAAAGAGGAGCAAATTAAACCCAAAGCAAAGAGAAGCAGAAAAAAATCCTAACATTTACAAGCAGAAATCAAGGCAATTGAGAACAGAAAAGTAATTGAGAAAATTAACGAAAGCAAAACCTTGTCACCTGAAATATCAATACATTAGTCAGACCGACCAGGACAAAAAGGAAGCGAATATTATTAATTTTAGGGAGTTTAAAAGAGAATAGCCCATAACACAGGAGGGTGGGCTGTTCAGCCTTCAGGCTGTGGAGACCCATTGTGGGAGGAGCTCAGTCATTCTATCAAAAGCTCAGGCTCGGAGCCTCATTGGCCCCGAAAAGCCCGCTCTGGGTCACGTGTCCTTCACGGAGCCTGCTGCGATGTTCCAGTCCTAGAGCCTGGAACAGTGAGCCTCGTCTCGAGCCCGTGGCCCCAGAAGGGGGCAGTGGATGTAGGCTGCCCTTGAAGATGTAGCCCCTACCTAGGAGAATGTGAACTCTCCACGGAAGGGCACGTGGCAGGCAGAGGGCCTCTCCGAGCTGTCAGGAATATGAGAAGAACATTCCGGGAGGTCTTCTGGTTCCAGAGAAGATTGGCTCTTCCCTACCAGTAAGGGCAATGGCCTTGCTTCATCCCAACGCCCCTGCCCTAATCGCAGAGCTGACCAATATGGTGCTTCTTGGGGCACCACTGTCCAGGTCTACTTACCCAGGGCTCTCTTAGCCTTCTAGGCACCATGTTACCCTGTTACCCGAGGGATGGAGGGCTCCTGACTCCGCACTCCCCCGGAGCTGCTGGTGACCCCGGTACTTGGCAGCTGGAGGAAGCAGGCTGGAAGAGATTCAAGATGCTCAGAGACGCGTTCTCTGTCATTGTGTGTGCTCGCTGTGTGGGTCCCGGCCACCAGCACGGCTGGGTCTATAAAGAGAAACTTTAAAAAGTCCACGTGATGCTAAAAATGAGAAGTCACGTTGCCCTTTCAAATCTCTTTCCTGTAGCACAGATAAAGGGGACTGGACATGAGGCTCGGGGCAGTTTTTCTCCACATTCATCTCTGTCAAGCAGTTGCCATGTGAACTCGTTTGTAATGAGTATTTCCTCCCCTCCTTTCTGGGGATATAACTGTGCCTCAGCCACCACCCATCATCTTTTTCGGTTCCATTAAAAAGAGCAGCCGTTTACTCATGAAATGGCACACAGTGCATGGAACTTGGGTGCTGTCAGAACAGGCCTGGTTTTGTTAGAAGCTGTGTTTCTGACGAATATATTGAAAGCCAGAACCTGGTTCTTTCCTCAAAGTCTAATCCTTTCCATATTCATTTCGTAAAGATGGCAGGAAACAGCACTCGGGTGACAACCAGATTATGAGTAACTCAGCTCATGTTTGGATGGGCCTCTGGGTACTTTGGAATTATTGCCGTCAAGATGTCAATAAAGACCTATTTCAGGATAAACTCATTAGGAACTAACATGTGAAATGGGAAGAGGAGGCATAATTTATAGTGGGGGAGGTGGATCATTGGTGCCCTGCTTAATGATATCAAATGCTGAACTGATCTTTGTACCTTCAAAATAGATCTCTGAAATTAAGCATTTCAATATAGACAAATAACACAGGATGGCATTTGGAAGGAAGTCACGCACAAACAGAAAGAATGACAGGTTGGCAATCTTGTAATTAAGGGGAATTCTGCAGACGAAATTGTAAACAGGCAGCATCAAACGGGGTAGGCTCCAGATGTGCGCGCCCCATCGGTGGAGGTCCTGGTGATGGTGCCAGCTTCGTGGGCTGAGAGTTAAGGTCTTGCCTCAGGGACAAGTCTGGAGGGCTTCAGCCTCCTCCAGCTGCATTCCATGTGCATGATCCGTTCCTGGAGTCTGGGAGGTCAGAGCGAAGGCAGGAATGTCCGGGTGGCGGGGCGCTGGGCTGGGAAATCCAGTGCATACTCCGCCGGCTCCTGCTGGTCTTCTGATTCATACGAAACAAAGGCCCAAAGATACTAAGGCCCCAGGACAGATCTAGAGTTCAAAAGCAGCGCGTTGGACCCTGGAAAGAGGCTGTGGCAGGCAGAGTACATTGGGTCTGTGGGGATCTGGAATTGGCAGAGATGTAGATTTCCACCCAGCCTGTCCCCCCGCCCCCTGGTATTTACAGAGGTTGCCATTCTTTCATGTGTAGGGCACCCAAATGCAACCTTCTCCACCAGACGTCTGGTTCTTTAAGACACATCAGCAAGCTCACCCCCACGTCACTGAGGACTAGATCTCTGCTCCCAGTGACAGAGGTTTTGCAATGTGTGTTTCCAGTCCCAAGGATTACAGTGAGCCCGTGGGCAGGTGCCATCAGATCCCAACATCAGTCACAGACGGAGGTCAGGCCATTAATGCGGAAGCTTGGCCTCTCCTAAGGCTCCCAGCGCCTGCTCTTGGACCTGCGTCCTGAGTACAGGACATTAGGAGATGTGTCCTGTGTAAGTCGCCGAAGAGGTGGCATGCTGTTGACCTGCCTACCACCCCCCGCCCCACAATGAAGCTGACAAATGAGCTGTTTTTGCGGTATCTACTCATGGTCTCTGCTTCCTGGACTGTGTACTGTTTGCCTCGGCTCTGCCCAGGTTTCTGTATCGATCGCCCCTGAACGTTTCATGTAGCAGGGGAGAAATTTTAGACCAGCCTACGTGACATTCATTTCTTGGAGGGTAAGTTCAAAGGAGTTCTTTTATTGTTTTGGAAATTGTAAAAAATTGCCAGCATTGTCTTGGTTTTATTAATGTTGCCTAGAAACGGAGTCCTCCCTCTTCCCTTCCTCCGGGCGCCAAGTCCATTTCCAGGTCAGGAAAGTTTTCTCTAATCCTTTTTATTGTTGCCTCATACTCATTGCTAGGATGTGCTTTTTTTTTTTGTTTTTTGGTTTTTTTGGACCAGAGCAGCTTTTATTCATGGGATGAATCTCCTTGGTTAGCCCTCTGCCTCTGTTATCTTATTTTTCTCATCATTTTAATCTCTGTATTCATTTCCTCTGTGATTGTCTAAGGTGGCTCAAGTTCATCTTCAGCAACTGATTTGGTTTCCTTCAATAATGAGCTTGATTTTTTTTGCCTCCCGGTGTGAATTTAATATCTGCCTCCATTCTTTATGTCTATAAACTTGTTTCTAGGACCGCTCCCTTCCTACTTCACTGCAGCCAGGAGAATTAAACAAGAGACCTTTCTTCCTGAGTTGCACAGAGCATACTGAGCAGGTCTTTTCTAAAAATTCCCTCTGTTTTAGAGTATGTCTGTTTCCCCGGGAGGTCTTTTCTCCTGAGGGTTGGGTGCTCGGCTCATGGGCCAGGAACCTAAATGCCTTCCCAGCCAGGCAGGCACGCGGAGCGAGTGGAGCCGCTGGGTGGAAAGACTCTCAGAGCTGCTCATCTGACTTGTCAACAGAGGCAGAAAATCCCTACTTCTAGGTGTGAAATGTCTGGACTTTCCAATGTTGGGTGAACCTAGTGAGAGGCAAACACAACACGATCTCTCCCAGGACTCTAGGATTCTGAGAAGGCTTATAAAAAAAGGCTTTATCCCAAGGGGCAGAGCTTTCCATGAAGTTCCATTTGGTCCCTTCAATAATGAGCTTGATTTTTTTCCCCAGCTGACGTGATCTGGAGAGAAGAAGGCTTTCCCAGCCCGCTTGATGGGGGACAGGAGGCCCGTGTCGGTCAGCCTGCCTTCCCCATCCTTCGGCCTGGGGATGAAGGTATTGTTCCCGGCACTTTGTTTGATAAGATGTTGCCAGTAAAATGATCGTTCATAGCGATGGTGATGAGCGTGATTGCAGATGTCATACGTGGCACTTATCAGGCGCCAGACGGCCAAGTGCCTGTGTCTCGTGTATCCGTTATCACCAACCACTCACTCAGCAAGGTGTTTGGGATGTAGTAAGTTCTCAGTAAAGCAAATGTTCATAATTTTGTTATTGTTACTAACGCTGTTGGTATTTGTATTGCCCTGAGATGTGATTAGCACAACTCGTGGGACACACCAGGCCGGCATCAGTGCTGGCTTCTCCTTCCCGCCTCTTGCTGAGAATAGTAACATTTTCCAGGGCGCTGAGGCCAGAGCACACAGACAGATGAGTGGGATGGCAGGCTTCTGAGCAGTAATAACAATGGGCACCAACCCGGGTGTGGGGCGTGAACACCTCCTAACATTTGGAACAACTTTGTAGAGTTGGTGGTATTGTCTCATATTTTCTAGACAAAATAAAAACCGACTTGTACGTTTCACTGGGTCGAACAAGATTAGAACAGAAAATTCTTCATTAAATTTGGTAACATGATGCCTGAAGTTTGAGGACAGTGACAAAGTACCCGAAGCAGATTAAGGTGGGCTGAAGGGTAAGGAAAGTTTTATAGATAAAGATACAATCATTAAGAAAATGAAAAAACATCCTATAGCGAAGAAATCAATTTGTAAGATAGGATAGGCATAAGATTAATCTTACTCATCTAATAAAAGGTCTTCTATAAAATGAAAAAAATTACAACCAAATATAAAAATGGTCAGTGAATATGACTATAAACCAGCAATATGTAGAAGCAGAAATCCAAAACCTTTACAAACGACTTCCTCGGAGTCCAAAATTTTCAAACTAAAGGTAGAAATCTACTTTTTACTCGATGATAAAAGCCAGCAGTAGAGAAGATGAAGGGGAAAATACTGTTTCCTATTTGCTGGTGGGAGTGGGAAAATCTCCAACCTTTTAAACATGTGATTGAAAGCATCTTTGAAAATTTAAAATATACCTTTGACTCACCAATTCTGCGCTTTCACGTGAGGATCATTCACTCATGTTCATAAGATGTATTGGCTGTACTACTTCCTCGCTGTACAGTTCTTGGGCAAGTTTACCTCGACATGCCTCAGTTTCTTCGTTGGAAAAATGGGGATAATGAAGGAGCTCATCTCATAGGATTGCTGTGGAAATCCCGTGAGTGAACACAGCGACAAACACTGTTAGCATCTTGATCTCTATTACACATTCTTCTGCAATTTCCTTTTCTGATCAAACAGTACTTCCTCATGAGGATGGATACAGCCGGGTCCCCTTTATCTTCATTTTGCTACATTTTGATACATATGCTAAAGCTCTTCTCAGTTATAGCCTGAGAAGCTGAATTTGGGGGCCCCAGGGCCCCTGGGTAATGTTAACCTGTGTTCTTTTGTTTACGTTTTTTTTCCTGAGAGAGAGAGAGAGCGTGAGCAGGGGAGGGTCAGAGAGGGAGTTACAGAATCTGAAACAAGCTCCAGGCTCTGAGCCTGCTGTCAGCACAGAGCCTGACGCGGGACTCGAACCCATGAACTGGGAGATCATGACCTGAGCCGAAGTTGGACCCTTAACCGACTCAGCCACCTAGGTGCCCCAACCTGTGTTCTAAAGTATAAAGAGTGCGTGTTACTCCAGATTCACCCACAGGCATTATCAGATCCATCCACTAGATTTGCTGATATGTAAGCCTATTGCTACTTAGATTTTGTCTTCCAGGGCTGTTGATTTATATTCTTTGAATTTTTCTATTATGTGGTTTGTCTCTTCTGCATTGATTTATAGAAACTTTCTACTTGGTTGTATATCTTACAAATATCTTTTCTGAGTCTATGGCTAATTTTTTTTTCTGTTCATTCTGTGCAGACATTTTCATGTTAATGTAATCAAATGTATCCATCTTTTGCTATCCTTTTTTTTGTCTTGTTAATAAATCATATCATTCCTTTTTTGCTCTAGACCTTAATCAATGAGGACAGACAGGTATGTGAGCCAACGAATATGCTGTCAGCTGTGCCCAAATGCCAGATGTCATGCTCCTTCTACATTACTCTCTTCTTTTTTTCTCTTATTTATTTTGAGAGAGAGAGAGAGAGAATAATTCCAAGTTCCATGCTGTCAGCACAGAGCCTGATGCAGGGCCCAGTCCTACGAACCATGAGCTTACGACCTGAACTGAAACCAAGAGTCCATTGCTCAACCTGACTGAACTGTCCAGATGCCCCCACATTACTCTCTTCTTCACTCTGGAGTAGAATGCCCCCAAACTATTGGACACCTAAACATGACACTTATATGACAGGTCTCTGAATCTTTATAGAATTGTTCTCTCTCTCTCACCCTCTAGAGTGTATCTTATCAAAGCCTCCCACATGCCGGCCTCTTGTGGGTCATCCAGTCAAATTAGCACGATTTCATTCCTAACACAGGCAAATAGGGTGCCCAAAGGATGACCAGCAGGCCCATGTCTCTTGAGATTATATTAAGGCAGAGGGTAGAATAGTTAGTTAACATGGTTCAAGGCTGTAAATGTACACTCCTGTCCATTCCAGGAGGCTGTGAAATATTTCTGATCCTTTCGGACAAGGAAGAAAGAATGTGTTTGGTAGATACCATGGACCCAGGGATCTAGAAAAGATACTACATTGGACATAACAACGGCCACTGGGCTACTGTGTGCTTGCATATTTGTCCTCCTTCCCTGCCATCCTCCGAGATTAGTCTGTGTTGTGGGGGTCAGGCTGGGGAACTAAAAGGAAATGACTTGGTGATCCCCACACTTGTAGCATTAATGCCTGCATTGTCCCTAGGATGGGACACTGTCGGTGATGCATGTTTGTGAGAGCGACAGTTTCAGACATTGTCATTTGGCTTTTCCAACTGGAATAGCCTGTAACTCAAGGCCAGAAATCCAGTGTGGGCATCGTGCTAACCACCGATGTATCTGCTTCAATGATACATTCAGGGACTGAGGAGTTTTCTGGTTCTGGTGGGTCTAACATGAAATAAAACTGGGCTAGGACTCCATTTATTACCTGTTGCCCTAAAAGAGTACCATGATGTCAAGTTCCTTGAGTATCATTGTTGACCAGGACCCTTATCCGACAGTACTGAAAACATTTGAGTGTTCCCTTTTCCACACGATGCAGTGACCCACATAAGTAGGCCCATTTAGGGAAGGGCTGGGAGTCATTATTATGGACTTTTCTGGGACACTTTATCCTGGGACCAACTTTTCCTTCAGTCACTGGCTTCTGGTTCTAAAGACTGGGCATTGGGTGACGGATATGACTTCCTAATGGTGACTTCCCTCAGTCTTCTAACCATCCTTCTTGATTTCTCTGATCGTACAAATTGGCATTCCCCTGGCTGGCTGCCTCCTATCCTCCCCTTGGGAAGCCACGTTCAAATGAATAATTTTCTGCATAATTTTCTGCCAACCGCATTCCTCGGGCAATGCCTCCAACCCTGCCACTCATGAAAACGTAACCCACCTGGCTTCTGGAACAAGGTGCTCCCCTCTTACGTATGTTGTTGTGCATCCCTATCTTCCCATGGTCTTCGTGGCACCTCCTGCCGTCAACACGGGCAAACCGAGGACAGTTACCTCTCTACGTGTCATTGTCCCTGGTGGCCTCCTACCTGCACATTTCGTGCTGCCTTGGTGACTCATGTACCCTTTGGGCCTTCCTGGGAATACCGTACAGATGGGCTTTCTGGTCTCCTGTGCTGTATAAGATAGGCTGGCTCCTGTAAGGTCTCTGTGGAATGCCCTGTGAGTTCAAGGGAGTCTCTGCTCAGCCTCCAGGAAACCCAAATGGTCCTCGGCCCTGTGGAAGCTCTGGAAGTTTCTTATCACTGCCTGGAAATTGTTCTCTTCTCAGAAATTGTTCTCATCCAGCCTTATGAGATTTGAACCTATACACGAGCAGGTTGATTTTCACCCAAAGACTCTGGGAGATTTCCTTATATATATATATATATATATAAAATAAATAATAAATAAATTATTTATAAATAAATAAAAAATAAATTACATATACATAATTTATTTTTACATTATTATAATATGAATATATAGTTATGGTTCATATATTTTAGATTTGTTTTTATATTATTTTATATTTATATAATTTACATAAACATTTTAATACTCTATGTTTATAAATGTTTTATATTTATTTTTAGATTATAATATAAATATATTATACTGTATGGAAATATATAAAAATACTATTAATTACATATGATTAATAATATATTTATATAATATATACATGTTAATAATAACATATAATTAATTATTATATTATGATTATTCATTATATATATAATTTATTGTCAAATTAGCTAACATGTAGTGTATAACGTGTGCTCTTTGCTCCGGGAGTAGATTCCTGTGACTCATCACTTACATACAACACCCAGTGCTCACCCCCACAAGTGCCCTCCTCAGTGCCCACCACCCATTTTCCCCACTTCCACCCTCAGTTTGTTCTCTGTATTTAAAAGTCTCTTATGGTTTGCCTCCCTCTCTGTAACTGTGGTCTTCTGTTAAGTTTCTCAAATTCCACATATGATGAAAACATACGATCTCTGTCTTTTTCTCACTGACTTATTTCACTTAGCATAATCGACTCCAGTTCCATCACGTTGTTACAAGTGGCAGACTTCATTCTTTCTCATTGTCGGGGGGATTCCTATGCAGACTTCGGCCCCGATTTCACTGGGTAGATGCTTCGTTTCAGGTACCCCGACCCACACATGCTGAACTCTCGTCTCTTGGCTCCTCCACTCAGCCAGATTGTCAGACTCTGCTTGGGTTCCCCTCTGTGACCTACAGCCCAGGGGGTAAGCCTGAGTGGCCACAGGGCTCACTGGCCGCCCCTTCCTTGGGGTCCCCGGGGTCCGGGGTCAGGCAGCTGTACTCT